GTAACACCAAGCTAATAAGATAGGGGATCAAAAATGCACCTGAAAAGTAATGAAAAATACAAACCGCTTCAGTTCTCATTGATTTAATAAGCACAAATAGTCTCAAAGTCGAGAATATCTCTGTTTTCTCCTATTTTATTCGAGAAAGGCGCAAGTTCATTGACGGTGTTAATGTCAAGCTGCTAGCTAGGGGTGGGGGTGGGGAACGAGAAACGTAGAGGGTTCGAGTTCTCCAAATAAAGTTCACTTTTTTCATTAAATCAAACTTTGCTATTCGCTCTCAGATAAGCGGCTTTGGTCTCTGGTCAAGAACATCAGACACCATGGTTGGGCGAGATGAGAAAAGAAAAGAGAGAGACAGAAAGAAAGAAACATAGAGTGCAGAAGGCAAACGCGCGCAACTTTGAACAGTTTTGCTTTGTTTTTGTTCGGAGTTTATTCCCGGGTATTTCCAGGGCGTTTTTTCTGCACCCTTATCTATGCCAAAAAGCTTTCTTATATTATCCCCGGTCTCCTGGTTTCGGAAATTGAAGCGATAGACGACTTAACAGTGAGTCCATGAGGAAAGCATTTTGAGTCAGACGATGAAGAAATGGATAAGCGTGGACGACGTGCGTGGACGGGCTGAACGATACGTGTGTGATCATGCGATGGATAAAAGCGTTTTCAAAATGGCGTGTGGACGGTGTCTTTTGAATAGATTGCACAAATTCAAACAGGGGATATGAGATATTAAATCACTGACATCGTGTTTAAAAATGGCGTTTGTTGTTAAACTTTAAACACTTTAAAAATTTGCATTGCTAATTTTTGTTGCTTTAAAGACAAAGGAGGTTGCAAGTGTGAAGCGCAAATAAACCGCGAAAAGATCGAAGCGTACCGGGAGCTTCTACGAATATACTGCCCACGAGATTCTCGACACCATGGATTAATTCTTGACAACGGCCGAGAAATCGGAACAGCTGGACTGTGTAATAATCACCATGCCGAGATCAGAAGGCAAACTTTATTTACTCGCAAAAGATGGCCTCCAAAAAAGTAAACAACAAAAACACTTTAGGAAAAATTAAATTGAATGAAAGTGCTTTCAAACGCATCACACTGTACGTTTTCCCAATCTTCGCTGTTTTGTATGTTAATTTAAGACCAATTTGGGCTATTTCTTTAGGAATAAATACACTTGAAAAATGCGGCAATACCTAGGTATATTTTAATCAATTTTCTTATATCTTTTTTGTTGACATGATCCAAACGCAATTCATATATTTTTTTCATTAATATGTGCTCCTGACAACCGCAATGCTGCTGCCACAGTGACGTACGAAAACAGAAAAGCACTAGTCAAATCATGGCGGGGGGTAGTCGACCTTTAACTACAGGTAACCTTTTAGTATAAATTCAGAACATTACTGCTTTCCTAACTTTGCTTGCACAGTACATATTGTGCTTAGGCTCAGTTTCAACTACTTGTAACTAAAATCCAGTGGGTAGTAGACAACAATTGCAATACAAACTAGTAGTTAACGTTTCTAACACATACACAATCTGAGTGAATTGAGGTGAGATAGGAACCTGTTTGGTCAAATGACACGGCGCGGCGTGGCGGCACAAGGTCGCTAGCCAGGGTCCAAAACCAGTTCAAACAGGCCAACAGAAAACCATTCACATACCTCCTCCATTTTTCTGGCACAAGTATGGAAATCGCCACACATTTCCGAGACCAACAGCAAACCCAATCGTTGCGAGAATATACTCCATTTTATTTCCCCAGCCTTTCCTTATCTCTTCAACTTCAACTTTCTGGGGTGCCGCGCTATCGCTTTCCTCCACATCTTCATTATCTGCGGAGCGTTCCTCGTTCTCTGGAGAAGTGACCGTGACAGTAATCTGCCCATTCTTCTCGGTTTTCTCCGACATTTTACCAGCACTCCTGCCTACGATCGGTGCAAGCTGCTAGTTAATCTCTCCTACTTTTGCCACAAAAACGTCAACAGATTAGTACAATAACTATTTTACAGCTATCATGTTCCGTGGTTAATCATTGAACCACGAAGAAAAGATACACACACCAACTGCTAAAATAGGATTTCTTTTAGCATAAAATTCTATGAGGGAAAAAAAGTTAAATCATTTTCGTCGGTATTTTGGATAATATTAGCCAGTTTTCCTACTATTTTGTAGGGAACGTTGGGTGCAGTATAAAAAAATAATCACTCGATAAACTGTACTCGAAAGAGGACAGAAAAAAAAAAAACGAATCGTCTGAGGAGAGACGTAAAAAATGGAATTTGGAGAGATATCATGGGTGAATACTGGTGTCCAGTCCAGTTCGGTTCACATTCCGATCACACAGTTCGAGCAGTTTATAATTTAGCCTCTTCTAGGCTCCGAGAAAGTCGGGCCCGCTGAATTGAAAAAACGCGAATCGATAAATAAAACGAGAGGAAACTGGAGAGAGGAGGGGCGGCTTTATCCTTTTTCCAACCTTTTTCCTTTTCCCGCCCCGCCAACTTTTCGCGTGCCTTTTACTTTCGGGATTTCCCCACTATCTGAGAGCCTGGAACAGATACAAACTCGGGGTTGGGGAGGGGTGCTTAATTTGGTTTGGGAACGATTTGTCAACTTTGACAACTTTGATCGATTTTCCTTTTTTTTTCGGTGCAAATATAGGTACATTAGCTCCATCAAGAACGTTGTTATATTGTTTCTGTGTTCACCCATCCTACCCCCGTCTCAAAATTCAGTTGGATGGCCCTCATATTTTACGGCAAATGGGTACCAGCACGCCTGGGGGTTCCGGTGGTTCCGGTGAAGGTTGGGAAAGTTTGATTGAACCTTTTCTTCCTTTTCAGCAGCTTGGGTTCGCAATGTCGGGGAACCGCTCGTTAAGGATAAAGCTGGGCAATGAAACAGGTGTCTGCCTTTAGCTACGTTTTGATCCCGGCAGTCGATGCAGGCTACTAACCTGCGGGCAGCCCCCGGGGCCGCACGCAGGTTAGGTAAGTTCGGGCTACCTCCGCGAATAACTCGTGGTTAGTATCCCATAATACTTTGAGTTTGTTTACGTCCTAAAACGGCGACGGTAGAGGAAAAATATGCAAGACCAGAAATAAACTCGTTCCAAGGTTCTCTCTCCCACCCTTTCTCGCTCCGTAGAACACTGGGAACGAGGTTGATCCAGAAAACATAATTAAAATTTAGCCCGAGGTTAGGATTTTAAACCCGCTTTCGAATTATTGGGCCCTGCAGAAACTATTTGTTATTGTTAAGGACACCCACAAAAAACATGAGAGTAAATTCACACGTAGAACGAAAATAGCACTGAAAGGCAATATACGCGATAGTATGCAGGTGTGTTTGGCTCATCCTGCTTATTCAGAGGCTGCCTACGACGCGAAATTTGTCCACAAATTATTCACTTCACATCTTAGTATTTTTAAAACCTCCAAATCTAGTGTTTTCCAATTTCCAAAAATTTTAAACATCCCGCCCCTAATTTTTATACATTAAAAACATTCGGAAAATCATCAAAAAATTCTCAAACAATTATTGAATCAAGGACTCCAAATTACATGTAATGGAGTAATTTTTTATTGAACGAAATCTTGGCTAAATATTTAAGAAAAAGGGCGGAAATAAACGATAACCAATGCTTTTAACCAGACTGGCTGCCCAGAGAGAAGCAGTAACTTGAGTCGGATCACGCTTCCCGATCAATTGATGAAAGGTTCGTTTTTATGTGGAGTGAGGGGGAAATAATCAAGTTACAGTTTACTTAGTTCTGAGCTTTATGGACGTCCGTCGCCACAGCGTAAAAATGATAACCAAATGAAATATAAATTGTACTCTAAACACGTAAAAACCAACACGAGTTTTATTGATTCAGGTTTACTATTGGAACTGAAGTTCCTTATTTTTAATCCCAATGGCAACTCAGTTTAACACTTGGATGCAGGCTTCCCTGACACCGCGGTTTGCTTGGTACTAAAACTGAGGCCACTCTTACATGTAAATAACATTGAAATGAAACGAACATTTTCGATAAAAACTTCAACGAAAAAAAAAAACGTGAGCAATAGTTGGGACACAAAACGGCCATCTTGTTAAACGTATGAGAAAGTTCGCCAGAGGAGATGGGGTGGTGAAGGAAAACTCTTAACAACAAAAGCAGTTTAGTTTTAATTCTGTTGTGAAATACCGCCAAAAATGATTACACAGGTGTAATCTTCATATAGTCTTAAGTTGCCATGGAAACATGGAAATCATGTCTCGAGTAAAAAAAAAAAATTATGTTGGTTGGTTGGAGAGTTTTTTTTTTTTTTTTTTGACAGCAGAGAGAAAATTCGACGTCTACCAGTATCGAGACAACAGCCAAGACTATCCAAACTCCACATGGTAGCTGAAAAATGCCTCTTTTATCGTCGGAAGCTAAAGGTTCTTAGAACTCATGTTAACATAAGACGTGTTGAGCTTGAAAATCCTGGATATAAACTCAAAATACAGGGTGGGTTTAAAAATAGACAAGTAGGAGCTCCAGGTTTAAAAACTCGTGTCATGTCACTTCCTGCTTGTAGTTAATACAATTAATAAGCTATTAATATGGGTGTATGCGGGAAAGGAAATAGTGCTCACTGATGAACACTCTTGATAAGTCTAATTAATAAACCCTGTTTCTAAATGGAAGTAAAGATATCAATCTTTTATGTTTGTATTAATTACTGCACTGTCTTCATTTCAGAGTGAAAAAACAACCAAATTTAGACGATGTCTTTTTTTTTTTTTAAAAAAATTGCTGTTGGCCCGTTGTTGCCTGGATTAATAATTGTTCTATTGTCCATGCTAGAGAGGCGGGTAAGCATTATAAAAATTAACGTAATAGAAAAAACATTCAGTTGCCTTTTATGAACAAGGGGTCTATTTCTTAATCGAGACCCAAACATTGCGTCTCCATTTTTGAAAAACAGTCCAAGCGACTCTGCAATAAAGACGCTCTTTCGGCTTCACATGTCAGTGGTGATATGATCACGTGTTCCTGCTTCCAGAAGCCTCTGTCGCGTGTATTCCCAAACAATAAGAGCTCCACTCACGTGCACGTTCAAAGACCTAATGATCCCAACCTGCGGGATCTCCACACACACGTCCAACATCTGAATGAGGTCAACCGGTATTCCCTCTTTCTCATTACCAAGTAATAGCAGCGTCTTATGCGGAAACTGGTACCGAGTCAAGCTCTCACTGTTGGCTGTTTGTTCGACGCCGATCAGAGTGTACCCCTCATGACGCATGCTCTCTAGATAGGACTTAAGACTTGATATGCGCACTTCTTGAAGATTCATCCATTTAGCAGCACTCACACTCAGCGATTTAAACTGAATGTCTTCAATCACATGTGAGTTACTCAGCACCAGTGTCTGTACGCCAAAAATCTCGCAGGTGCGACACAAACCACCGAGATTGGGAGCCTTGTCGATCAGTGATGCGACTACAATCAGGTTTCCAGCGGAATTCTTGTGCATATTTACCATGCGCTGTTGTTGAATTTCAGACATCATTTCTTCATCAGGTGGGATCACTTTCCATGGTCTGATCTTCTTCTGTACATCACCACTCTGAAGTCTACACATGACGTCATTGCCTTGAAGCTCATTCTTCTCGTAAATTGCTTTTCCAGTTAATCTTCGCATTATTTGTTCTCCGATGCCTTCTTCGTAGTTATATCGTGGAGCATCCAGTAACTTTGACAGACGTGTATCATCTGGGTTAATAAGTTTCAATCTATGAAAACCATCCCCATGTGACTTCCAAACTCGCATGCCTAGTGTTCCATTCATGAAACCGTTGGGAGAAATCCACTCTTCATCAGTTACCTCCGCTAGGCGAGGAAGAATCTCGTACAGAGTCTGCACAGAAAAGTCAAGGTAAGGGTGCAAGTCAAGGAAGAAGAAATCTCCCAACACACGAACCTTTTGACGAAGGCCTTCGTTGCTTGATTCTAGGAAATTCACACAGGACTCGATGACCGCGTAATCAGACATGACCTCGCGTAAGTTCTGCCGCTGGCAGGTGAGCCACATTTTCTGTAACGCGACCTGCGCGTAAGCCTGAACCTGAAAGAGAGAAAAGGTTAAGTTTCTGTTAGACCAAAACACAGCAAATTCGAAACGAATTAGGGTGTTTAAAAACTTAGCCTGTTCACAGACCCTCTATTTTCTCTTCAAAGTCCGTCGAGCGCGCGTGATAAAATATAAACCGCAGGGGATTTATTGCCTACTAGCGTAAGGAGGTAGGGGTGGAGGAAGAAGAAAATAAATTTTCTTTCTCGCGCTCCAAGCTCGTTTCGCTCGCGAGCTCGCCGGTGTTCTCGAAAAGAACGAAAAGAAAAATAAAACAACGTCTGTGTACAGGCTAAAAAAACTCAGCTAACAGACTTGTACTTGCTCTAGCTTCGAACTAAGTCGCGTATCGGTTGGAAATGAACTGGTAAGAAATTTCTGCAAGTTTGTTTCAGTAAAACCACGAGGACATGAACAGGCGCCTTTAGAAGACACAGCAATGATTTTTTCTACAAAATTTTGTATATTTTTGTCTTGATGCAATCGCACCGAGTAGTCAAGTAGGCACGTCCAAAAAACGAAGAGCCGAGAGACTGGCAAAACATATTCGCTATAACGAGGTCTCGTTACATCGAAGTTATATTTCATATATCTTACTATTATTTGCCATAGGCACAAAGTAAGGTGTCTGACAGCCCCGTACACCGTGGTCCCGTGAATTGAGTCCATCGTTAGATCCCAAGAAACACAAGAAAACACTAAAAATCATTGCGTTACCGTATCCACCTACCATGACATGGGAGGCTAGTACCCAGGGAAGAATGGTGGGAAAAGCTCGTCGGAAGTACGCGGTTTGGGAGGAGGAATCTGAGAACGAGAATTCGCCAACAACAGCAGCAACAACAAGGAGTGGGAAGACACTGCCACTTCGTCTGTCCACTTGATACTTGAGTTGTTCCCATAGAAACGGCAGCAGATTTGGAAACCTAGTAAAATAAATGGAAATACACAATATAATTCTCACTATAGACGAGTTCTATTTTTTCTTTCCTAAAAAATATATACGGTACATCTCCTGGGCCTAACCAAAATATGACATTTTTGGTAACCGTTCAAAAAACACTGACTTCCTTTGTTTTTGTCCATACTTGCATCACACAATTTCCCTTATACTTGATTCAAGCTTTTCTCCACTTGAATTTGAGGGTTTTGCACAGAGATTATTGTGAAATGAACTTTAATGTTTCAGTCTTGAAGAGGTATTGGGGGATACTTTTTCTAACTAAAAAAGTATTGCAACCCAGTGAACAAATTAATCAAAAATCAAAGAGCACACATAATACGGGCGTAGATCCCGAAAAAGTGGCAACGATCAAACTGTGACACTGCAAATCTCGGTGAAAGAGTGCCAGAGAAAAGTTTCGTTTCATCAACTGATTTGTTGATTTAAATTCACCACTACAATAGCTGTCGAAACGTCAGCTTCTGAATCTTTCTACCATGGTCATTTGACTTTACCAACACAGTCAGTTAATAAAACAAAACTTGTTGTTTTCCAAAAATAATAGTAAAGTAACCCCTGTCATCTCAGTGTCTTTACCTGCCCAGTATGAGCACCAACCCCCACTGAACGAAGTTTCGTACAGACACTTGGTTATCGCCAAGAATGGCACCAAACATTCCTTCTAAAACCTGACGAAAAAACGATTCTGTTGCATCTCCTTCTTCAAGTAAACGGGACAGGCTAACAAGCACTGCCTGCCACACCCGGTGCTTCCTTCTATGGGCGTAGGAATTAATAGATGATCGTGGTTTATCTTCCAGTAGATCACTATTTTTGGCAATTAATGCATGGATGACGCGCTGTAGAAGCTTGGAATCGCGTGGATCTTTTGGACTTAACATCATAAGTGTATTGATCGCGTTCACTCGCACACGCGTGTCATCACGCAATTCGTTCACAGTTACAGGGCATATCTCGTATTGTTCACTCAGACGGTGCACGTACTCCAGTACGAAGTTAGTGACACGAATGGTCTTCTTTTCACTGGGACCAAAAATGCTGGCTTCGATGATAAAGTCAAGGTGAACCTCCAAGCTCTGTTTACGATCTCCCTCACTAAATTGAGAAGCTGAAATTGCGTGGTTGTAATCACAGTGTGAACTTGTCCAAAACTTACAGCACGGCTCGATCACATGATTCACGATCCCTGGACGGTCTTCTCCCATAGCCAACAGCTCGGCCCAGTACTTGCGCACGATTGCAGTGATGGGGTGGTCTTCCGGTAGAGTCAAAAGGCAGGGGCTGAAAAGCACTTGAGTGATTTCTCTCAACGTTCCCCAAAACCAGATGTGATCTCCCTTTTGTCGATTCTGAAATGTCCACCAAACGGACTCCAAGGCCCGCGAACACAATGACGCATCTTTCAGCAGCATGCGAGGAGTTAATAAGCGGACGCATTTTATGACGGGTAAAATCGCTTGACCCGAGCCGAGAGATAGGGCTTTAATGGTGGTTTCAGGCAGATCCACTAGGAAATTCTCTAACTTCTTCTTCATTTCTTGGTCTTTGTCTTCGGTGTAGCGCTGAGATTCTTCAATCAGGAATCCCACGCACAGCCACTGAGCTTCCAAAACGTCAGACACCAGTCTTCCCCAGCCTTTCTTAATAAGCGGACCAGCTTCTGTTGATGTATGATCACCTTCTTCACCTGGGTACAGGAACTTAGGTTTTGGAAACTCAGAACTTAGGTCGAGTTCAGCTATCGTTTGTAACAAAGTGTACACCAAATAGCTTGAAGAGGGGAGTTGCTCGGTCTTCAAAACGTTACAGCAAAAGACAAGGCACTTCATCGACAAAGCAAACGAACGCCAGTCACTTAATGTAAGATGCTGTCTGCCTGACTGTTTATCCAAAACCATTTTTCTGCTTTTCTGAATGAGTTTGTCAATAAAGTGATAATAACATTCCACTTCCTGGCCTCCAATGTTCGCAGTCATAAAAATGTACAACTCATTTGCAAGGTCAAGAAACGCAAAGCTGAAATCTGCGTGAGATACATTCATGGCAGCCGTGGTTAGTTTCCTTAGTAAGAGCTCTAGCATGTCGGGCCCACTCGACCTAAGCAGTTCACACATTAAATATGCGCTGTTATCGACCTTCAGTTTTGAATTACCAACCCTCACTGTTTTTTGACTGGAGCTCCGACTGCAGGCTGGTGTAGTACTGTTTAAGTGGTGTAAAATGCCCGATAGAAGGATAGCCGCCCGTTCTGTTTTGCGGTCTGGGGCATAAACATGGCTACTTGCATGATGAATGACTGTAACGATTTGCTGAAGAATTTCCTGCACTGGCTGTTTAGTTGTTAAATTCTTTGAAAACTTGAGATGAGCGTCACACGAGATAACCAATAATCGTATCACAGACTGTGCCTCGGAATCACTGGCTGGAATCACCGGTGTTTGATCATTAAGAAATGCTTCTATTCTACTCTTTAGGTGGTCAAACGGGTTGGAAGTACTCGTCAGTTCACTTAGTCCTGATTCAACAGGGGTTTCGTGACACACAGAACCGCGAATCTCCTCAACAAAATTGACCGTTGCTTCCCACAAATCGTTTCCCCGGCACAAGCAATCGATAGTAGAAAAAAGAGAGAGGAAATCACCAAGGACAGTCCAGCTCACACGTCTTGGATTCGTCAGATTTATAACTGCCTTCAAGAGAAAACTTTGAATAGCTACAGTCATATGTGGGTTGAAAGTTCTAAACAAAGGAAAGATGCCACGAATGATTGACAGCGCTTCGGAATCCCAAGCCGGACAAGAAGGCAAACTTGCCAACATCTGCGACATAAATACCAGAGGAACTTGGGTAAATTCTTGCCTGACAATTGCAGATAGAAGTCCAGCACAAAACGCTGGCCTGTTATTGACCTGGAGGCGTTCAGCAAAGCTTGTGAAAAACGCGACAACGGCCATCCCGACGGCAGGTGCATCTCCCTTCATGTCATCATCTGACCTGGCATAAATATTATACTCACTCAGCATTCTCATAAGGGGACCATAGAGGAACCACCAATAGCAAGGGCTCAGAAGTGGAGAGCAACTAAGATCCATACTCAGAAGGTCCAGGATGGCCCATCTGCAGATAAACTTGTTATCATGTTGGGCTGCTCTGTAGTACAGTGTAAGGAGCCAAGAAATATCCAGCATTATTTCACCTACAAGGTAAAACGGCAGGAAAACTTTCACGTACTGTTAAGAAAAACTATAATTAAAATAGCTGAAAAGTTAATAATTGCGGTTCTTGCTATAAAGAACTTCAAAAACTCATACAGATTCAGTAGGCATATTTTCCAATTGAATGCATGGATTTAATCAGGGGAAGAACCCTTATATTACCCTGTAAAATTCATCTTACTGAAAGTCAGGGGATTGATTTGAAAAGGAATGCTGATTAGGATGAATACTATATACAAAGAATACTAATGAACATGAGAGTTTACATAAAAGGTAAGATTTCCTTGTTTGCAAATCAATCAAAAGGTACAAAATTCAAGAAACGGTGATTTGGCACAAGGGTTATGCACTGCCGAGCCAACCATTAAAAGATTACAATGGTGATCTTTGAGAGGCCTGTAGGATTACATACAATAATTAAAAGAAAACATAATAAGAATTTAACATGTTTGAGCTTATCCTATGCATCTTACCATTAATGATTTTCTTAGTGGCGTCCACTATACTGGATATTCGTGGCAAAACTGGTTTGATGATGTGTGCCTGAAATTTGAAAGTTACAAAGTAATATTATATTATGTACAGGTCTTTATTGCCCCATGTGAGGGAATCCGGGAAATTTTTGCTTGTGAACTCTTGAATCCTGGAAATTTGTGTTGTGGGATCCGGAATCCCATTTCATATTTTTCATAGCTATACTAAAATTCTCTTATCTGCTTAGCTATCAGCTCTCCTGATGTCAGAATTAATACACCAAGGGCAGTATGTCTCATGCCTAAATAATTAAACAGTATGAACCATCACATGAGTGCTTTTGTAGTTTTTTTTTCACTGCTACCAAACATTTCTCAGAATCTTTTATGTTTTAATTTTTACTTTAATTTGGTCTGTAGTGATATTTGTGATTAAAAAAAAAATTATTGCCTTTCCATAAATTTGCGAATGAATCTCTACCTGCTTTTCATCCAGAGTCTCCATAATTAGGACAAAATCCTGCCATAAACTCCTCAGAGAATTCTTATTCATAGATGCCCAGTAAAAGAGGCGATTTCCTTTCTTGCTTTCTACTGATAAATCACCCAACTGCTTGTCCAAAACATCTAAAGACCTTTTTAAAAGATACATGGACCTTTTTCTTGAAAGAGGTTCATTAAACACGATACCATTCTGAATCATTTCCCAAAACTCAGGTTTTTCAAAAAGGTTGTAGCTGTTGCCTGGGCTACAAAAGAAGTCTGCAAGACCACAGAGAATAGCAAATGTTTTGGTTGTTGACTCAGTTTCTTCATTTTGGAATACCAGTTTCACTACATGCCACACTGCCTAAAAAATGAGTGAAAACAACATATTATATAGTCTATTTAAACATGAACTTTACTAACTGAATAATAGAATATGGTCTGGATGAAATTTTTTTTGAAAGGTGTCAGTAACCGACATATTTTGTGAGTTTAAGCACAAGAATGGAAACTGAAAAACAAATGAATAAATAAAAAACTATAGGTGAAAAATAAAGAATGAAGATAAGAAGGAGACATTTTAAAAAAACTAATGAAGAAGTGCTGATTTGAGTGTCCGCTGTCGAAATATAAGGATTAACAATCATGGGTGGTGGGAGGATTTGAAATTTTGTAAAAAATTTTTGTGGCGGCAAGCATGGGGACAGCTTGGGATTTACCACTTTTCCAATTCCCAAGCCCATAAATATTGGGAATATAGAATTGTGAAGAGGGGAGGAGTATGTGAAATATCATGCTGCCAAATGTTTAACAAATGGAGGCCTGGAGTTGTCTCTCTTGAGGAATGTGAAAGAGTTTTAGCACTTGAGGTCAAAATATAGTCGTACTTTAGCTATTGTTATTTCAATTGCTATTGCTTTATTTTGAAGTCATCCTTATCATTCTTTGGTAAATCTTGTTATTTCTCATGACATATGGCAAAAACTTAAGCAAAAATGCTGCCCGGCATAGTAAATTTCGTGGCACCCTAAATGCTTTATTACTTTCATCTGTATATAACAGGTAAGAAAACTGTTCTCATTCCTGTATATGCTGAAAAAGAATTATGATATTACAGACAAATTAACAGCTAAAGAAATGGGAACAGTTGGCATTGAAACTATTAACAAACAGTGTGAGGTGGATTATTTCAGGTTATATTAAGTACTCTACAGATCTCGGATTTTTGCCCATTCCTCTCGTGCGGTGGTCCAAGCTCAACTTTTTTTAGACTGTTCACAGTCCTCTATTTTTCCACAAGATCATCGAGATCGAGCGCTTTCCGTTACGGGCTGTCATCTTGCATGAGTGTCAAAACTACTTAGGAGGTGGGAGCGGTTTGGGAGGAAGTGAGAAAAAGAAAGGACTGTAATAACATCACTGCAGCTTGTGTTCAGGAGGCGTGACAGGAATTTCATGCCTTTTACAATTCATTAATTAAGAAACTCTGCTGGTGATGAAAAACATGCCGGACATGTTTAGCATCGATATTGCTTATTTACAAATATCTCCCTTCAAAGCAGTGATTTTATACAGTTTCTGGGCCATTACTCCAAAAAAAAAAATCTGCAAACATTCAAAAGTGACACATTTTCCTAATCGAAGTCCTAAGCATGCTCACTTCACCACAGGTTAAAACAGTTAAACCTCCCTACAAAAAGCCAGCATTTCTGAAAGGTCATCTTTTTTGCATTGGCGGAGCGTTAAAATTCAATTTGTTTGGCAAAAACTGAGTTACCACATTCTCCTGGTCAGGCTGCTTCAAAGGCATGTTGGATTACGTGATTCATCCAAAAAATACCAAAAATCCTTTGTGTGTTTGCGCAAGATGTGCCTTATGGTATTATTATGAAAGCATACGTTTTATAGAAACGATGACTTGTCAACGACTTGTCAGTGTCGGCAATTTAAACTAAACCTGATGTCAACGCAAATTAACATCTATTGTCTAATTACCAATCAAACGCCTGCATTGCTGGTGCAATGTTATTACAGTCCCTCTATTTTTCTCGCCCCCCTCCCCCTAGAGCTATAATCCCGACGCCTGCCCCCTTGGTACATAAGACGTGCTACATCCTCGACAATCTCACAAAAAAATAGGGGACTGTGAGCAGTCTTCACTTTTTTCGAAGTCACCTTTTGGTGACCTAAAACTGTTAAATGGTCACCAGACAAAATATCGGTTGCCAGAGAAAACAGAGACTTTGTGCAATACTACACAAATGTTTGAAAGAATCAAAATGGCTGCCCACCATCGCAGTAGAATTTGGAGGTGCACACAACATCTGAAGACTTAATACCCAGAGAAACAGGGTGAAACCAGGCAAATTATCAAGAAAACAGAGCATAAATGATATTTAATACAAAATCTCACTTTAACTTAAAAAGACCATAAACACTAACTACAATAAAAACGCTTCTCCCAGAACCTCGGGAATTTCTTGGGAATAGCTTGGCACGTGATCACTGAACACAGGTCACCAAATCAACGACTTTCACGGCAATTTTATTTGCCAAAATTTTTTTCTTCTCACCATGGCAACCAAAACGGTCACAGCTTGGAGCACTGTCACAGATTTACAGTTAAATTCATTCCACAGGTGTTTACTAACAGTTGTGTGCAAAATATTCTGCCAACGAAGCAGGCTACAATTATAATATTATTATAAAAATGTTCCCTCAATCAAATTAATCCCAGTTACATAACCTGGATATTAGGTCATATAATTAAGTTGAGAAGCTCACACTTGACTTAGGGGAAATTCTCAACTGCGCTCCAACCATCTACTTGGGCCAAACTTTGAACTTTGGAGAGAGGGAGAGGGAGGGAGCTAGTTAAACCACACTTACTTATTTAACAAATTACATTACCTTACCTCACACCTTTCGGTTCTTTTGAATTTCAGGAAATGCGGCAGCACAGCACCAGTCAGCTTGGCACATAACTTCTCAGTAGTGCAGGGTAACAGATTTAACAGTTCCTTGAAGAGTTCATCTCCGAATTCTCCAGAGGTTAGCCCAGCATCTTCACCAGACTCAAAGGCCTCTGGCTTGACAAGATTTCCGATGAGGTCCAATGTCACCGAAACATCATGAGCATTTTCGTCAGTGGCACTTTTCTCTGAAACATACCGCCTGAGAATCTCTAAGGATTTCTCATGAACTTCTGACAGTACTTTTGTCGGATAAACGGAGCAACATAACGCTACAATATCATAACAAAGGTGTAACTTTTTTCTTTGGCTTCCGTCCGAACGACTGTACACGATCGGCCAACACACCTCTCGCAAAACCTTCGTAACCAAATCCTCGCTGAGGTGTTGTGATTTTTCAAGCGTCTGTAAAACCAGCTGTAGAGATTCTAAGTAATTCGTGTCAGGAACTTGATCTTGTTGTTCCACAAAACGCTTTAGGACGACTGAAAACTGGTAAAACTCAGAATTATCGCAAACGAACTGAAGAAGTCTATCCATACCTGTTCAATACACGAGGTTTTGAGCTAATAAAAAGCAGGCGTTCATCCGCCGAGAAAAATTGGAGACTGGGTCGAACGTGTCTTGTCCTCACCCACAACGGGTCAGGCGGACAAGTGCGGTTTCTCCTTCCCCTTATTTTCAGGAATTTGATCAGCAGCTGAGTAAAACATGGCTTTCAAAGCATTATTCGTTCCACCCTATATTACAGACTCTTTTACAAGCGCGAATTCGGCAACAGGGAGATGTCCGAATGATTGACTTGTCTTCTCGATCCTGGTCCACCTACCCACTGGGGGCTGGTTGTTCAAACGGACAGCGCAATCCGCCGGATAAATCATAAAGTGTAAACTTCTGCAAACTATTTGCGTTCCCCAATGGATAGTGATTTATCCACTAACCTGTGATCAGGCCTTTATCCACTCGTTAGCGTTATCCACCTTTAGAACAAGTAAGACAAAATACCCTATCTCTAGTCCTCCCCTGCCGTGGAGCTGGTCCAATGGATCGCGGATTTGTTGTTTACTGATTGTTTATTGGTCGATTTTTATCACGTGAAACAAGCTCCGAAACAAAACAAAAAGAGCGCGAAGAAAATTGCGCGAACATAAAGCGCCAAGACTATTACTTATCCAGGCCTTGAAGTGCAGAATTCTTTATTGTTTTCTTATATAGCCACCGAAATGGGTCATTTCTTATCCACTGCCTTAACTGCATTGGGTTATTCTCACCCTGATTGCCAAGAGAAAATATTATACTTCAAAAAGCTAAGTGATCAAGCTACAACTCCGAGCAGAGGCACTGATTTGGCCGCTGGCTACGATTTGTACAGCGCGGAAGAAAAAACTATTCCCAAAGAGGGTAAGGCTTTAGTAAAGACAGATATCGCGATTGCATTGCCTCAAGGATGCTATGGACGAGTTGCCCCGAGGTAGGTGAACAAATTTAGCATTTCCTTTGAAGAAATATTGCAGTTCAAAGAGCCCGCGTTCTTCTGTGAGCACATGTTGCGCGTTGAAGCAAGATCAAGCGGTTGTACATCTTTTTGTACACTTTTCCACGTGCTCCTCAAATCTGAGATCCATACTTTTGAGAATTGAACCAAATTTGCTGTTGAAACGCTGAGTGCCTTAAAACGTTTAATCGGACATTAGAGTTTTGTTCCCTGTTGGCAGGAAATATTAATGAGTTTTTAACATAGCTTCTATCCTATGAAGCTACTCTGATTACTCAAACTATTTAATTAAGCTTAATTTGTTTTAGGTTTTTTGTAACAGAATTATTCTGTAGCGTAAACGTGAACTTTGATCAATGGGCATTTCAGCAAATAATGTCTGGAAAATTTCAAAGGATATCAATTTAAATTCAAAGTTATTGATGAATTGTTGTTTTTTAGATCCAGCCTCTCCTGGAAGCACCACATTGATGTAGGTGCAGGCGTGGTAGACCGTGATTATCGTGGAAATGTTGGGGTAGTACTTTTCAACCTTTCCAAAACTGATTATACAGTCCACCAAGGAGATCGGATAGCTCAACTTATCGTTGAAAGAATAAGCACCCCTCCTCTTGTAGAAGTTGAGGTAAGGTTCATGAGCTTGGGGGACATACTTGTTGCAATGTGGTAGACATACAAATAATTTTCCTCCAGGAACTTAGGAGCTGTAGCTTATTAAAACCCTCAAGTGAAATAAAAAGGTCCCAAAACAAAGTAATGATTAAAAAGCCAAGTGTTAAATAATACGTATTAAGACATGAATTACATGTAGGAACAAAATCACTTCTGTGCACTCAAGAAAACGGTTGCCTGGCTGTCTCTGATCGCCTCAACTATTGAATTTGTTACAAGGATGCATTGTTCAGTGCTACGCAAGAAGGGTTATAGTTTTTTGCATGAATTAAATAGCATGTTGATTACCTGCTCTGACAGAAACATGATATACAAAAGTTTTCACACAAAGAAACTTGTCGTGTACAAAACAACCCTTCTTTCTCCCAACTTCAAGTATCATGACCTACCAAGTAGATCATCCTTTGTATTGATCCATTTTGCCAGAGAAAAAAAAACATTGTTTGAAGCTATTGGTACTTTTGTCATTTTCTGGTTGCTAACTAGAAAGAGGGTTGTGCTCTAGCAGAGCCTGGTGGCTCCTCACTCCTAACTTTTGCTCTTGGGCGATTAGGATATCGGGGTGGGTGATAGAGTTCAATTTTAGGGCTTAAAACAGAGTGAGTGGGTATTTTCTATGCAGAACTTTTTTGTTCTTTTTGTTGTTGTGCCGTCCTGATGAGGCACAATCATAGCAAAAAAACTGTTGGTGGATACAACCCTGCTCTGTTTTGGGTTCTACCGGTGTTGTGTTGATGTGTTGCAAAGTTAATTTTCATGTGGTATGATCAGCATTGCAGAATTGAATGTGAAATCTTAGTTTTTACATTTAAGTTATATGCTGGGCACCCTAGATTTTACAGTTTCAGAGCCTGGGGTTCCCGTCAATTTCCTTAGAGCATAGCCTTGTAGAAGAGAAAAAGAAAAACTATCCTAAACTGTTTTTTACTCTAAAATTAACCGAGCTTGTTTTTGTTTTCAGTTTACACTGCTCTCTCAGATTTGGACATGATGAACAGAAGGAATAACTTTTAAACAGAAAATAAAGTTTAAACCTTTAAAGAAAAGAATTTCAACTTTAATGCTGCTTTTAATAGTCCAGATCTAGCCTGTTGTGAAACAAAGGTAAATTATAAAAGTAGATTTGAATTTACTTGATTATAAATCAATAAATGAATAAATTTAGAAAAAAATAAAAATGTAATAAATGATATAAAATATTTTTCACAAAAAATTGTGTGCAGGGATTAAACTAAGCTCAAGTTAAATCTGGCATGATAAGGCAAGACTAAAAAAAACTCATGTACATTGGTGTACATTAATCAGTGATCAATTAATACAGAACTTTACTTTAGAGTATTAGGAAAGTGATTTAAGAAAGATTTGTGCATTTCCATTGAATTATTAGTTTTATTTTCCCTTAAACTGGGGCCCAATTTTTTAGGTTTGGGCTTTAAATAGGGTGTCAGTTTTCATTATTTTGTCTCATCTTTAACCCATTTGCTCCTGAGCCACCTATAACCTCCCATGTGAATCCACACCCCTCTACCACTCATGACGTCATCAGTTTCAATGGTCATGGACAATTTAGTCCGACAACTTGTGTAAAGTGAAGAAATCTTTCAAACCTTACTAGAATGTGCTCAATTCAGTCAAGGACACCAAAAAAACCATGTAACATTGACCTGAGAATGTCCATGAAAATCTTGTTCCACTACACGCATACCTTCCCTTTCATCTAATTCTAAGATCCTAAAAGCTTTCCTAAAAGCGTTTCCCACCAAAATGAAGCCTACTAAATGCATAGCTAAAGAAAAAAAAAAATGAGGCAAGAAAAGCAAAGAAAGAGGGGGAGAGAGAAAGTGAAAAGTAAAAGTCAAGACCAGTGTTCTCCCAAGGTACCTAAGGCTAGGCAGGCCGCCTAGCTTAGTACACTAGAAAATTGTTGCCGCATGGCTTAAAAGCCAAAGATTTATCATCAACAACAACAACATCTTTGAATAAAAAGTAATAACAAGAAGATACTTGGACAAAATAAATGACAAATTTCTAACCCCCCTCCCCCCCCCCCCGCCCAAATCAGGGATGGGAAAGTAGCACATTTTGGCTTTTGCGTGGCTTCATCCTTGATTTAGGGGGAAATGGGGTTTGCTGTTGCAGTTGTTCTGTCCGAGATTGTAGGTACTTTAGAGACAAAATCACTCAATAATGTTGATGAAACATTTTCTATGGGGTTTTCAAGAAAATCAATCCTTTTTGTACACTGTGTTAAGTACCTATCAATAATTTATGTATACTGGAAGTGACTTGTTAAAAGCATAAATAAATAGGTGGAGGAGATGACTGGGAGGGGAGCAATGAGTCCATTATCAGGACTAATTTGTGAAATTTCTAATTCAGTTGGTCAGGGAAATTTTACATTTGTCAGGAAAAAGTGAGGGTATTTCAAAAACCTCTGGCTTTGGCAACCATGATTTCATTTGGCTGACATACTGGTATTTCCTCTTTTCAGGAGTTGGATAGTACAGCTCGAGGAACTGCAGGCTATGGATCCACGGGAAAATAGAAACGGGCCTTGCTTTAACTGACTGAAAGTTTTCTGTACAGATTAGCATGCCAAGTGCCATCTTTGAAATGCATTTAAAAATAAAATTTATTATTACTTTACAGTAGATATCTTAAGCCAGTTGTTTAAAAGCTGGAAATATTGTAAATGTTTTTGAAACAGTTAAAATCATTTTCCTGTTATAGTTCCTTACTTATATGAGCACAAACAAGATTAATTTCTACTGTAGCAGTAGTGATGGTGTGGCTCATTAAGAACTTAATAATTACCCTCAATTCAACAGTCTGACTTGATAAAATTTCTGTTTGAACAGAGAACAAAAAAGACAGCTTCTTTTTACACCTTAACTAAAACTTTTGCCTCAAGTTTTTAAGATATTGCTGTCAACTAGACACGTCAGTATTTGGTATACGATGGATACTGATCTTTTTCATTGTTGCCTCTAACTCTCTTTCAAACAACTACTCTATTTCAACATCAAGTTTTGTTTCTAAACTTACTGCTGTTGCTCCTGTTCTACTAAAAGAAGAAAGGAGTAAAACTATATATAAGAGAATGCTGTATTTATTGTACGTGAGAAAAATCTTCAACAACTTTGCTTATAGGGACTTTGTTGTTTCTATTAAGCTATATGGTACTTCTAATAATGTTTGTATTGAGAAAATAGATCGGTGCTTGGTGTCCACCTTGTTGTAGTCTGGACTTTTGACATTGCTTTCTATCATGAAAGTAGATTTTAGGTCATATATGTTGGACTACCATGATCTCAAACTAAAATGACATAAATCCCATATTAATCCCCCCTCTCAAATAAGCCCTCCGTTTTTCAGGGGAACAAAGTTAAGAAAGCCCCCTCCCCTCCTCCATATTATTATTCACTGAAAAATGAGAGACTGTATTGATCAGTCGTGACTGTCAGGAGTCTATTGCGAATGCATTCTAGTTCTTTATGGAGAACTGATACCATCTTCTTTGTTAAATTGAATAAGCCTCCCCCTCTCATATAAGCCCCTGTCTGTATTGAGCGCCCCCCCTCAAATGTGTTTGAAATAAAAAAGCCCCAGGAGGGTTTTATAGAGGATTTACGGGTGGTCACCAAACCTGCTACGTGTGCATCTTAGGTGTGTAAGTAAATGCATTTGTAAAGGGGAAAAGGGAACCATGGTTTAGTGATTTGTGTGAACTAACAGACAAAGCGAGCTCTGACATTGATATGGACAGACTTGGCAGCTTCCTAGTAACTGAAAGGTTGCCCAACCAGGCCTCCCAACTTGTTGGTTTTTATTATTATTTATGGTGGCAGATTTCTAGCTGTAGCCACCAAAACTCCCTACACTCCCCCCTGGTTTTCTTGAAAAATATCCAAAAGCATTTCTACCAAGTGGGCCCCTGGTTATCTTGGCTCTTTTTTTTAAGGACAAAGGCAGGGTGCAAAGCTAGCACAAGTACTATCCTGACAGTCATTTTAACTAGCACTACAGAATTCACTAGTGCGAATGCAAAATCCGCTAGCCTCAGCTATCAGACATGACTTTCTTTGCACACTGCTATAGCCACTTTGGCTACCTGCTAGGAATTGCAGCTCAAAACTCACCTCACCACTCATTACCAACATGCCATTCACTGTCATTTAAAGGGGGGAGGTAGGAATCTTTGGTTGTTGCAGCTACCTACTATTGAGTAGAATATGTTGACCCAAAGGTATTGAGCAACCAAGCCTATAACCCCTTATCCTTGATGGCAGTTTGTGCAATCTTAAAGCATGGAAATTTGCCCCCCAAAAGCCATTGTTGCCCATTCCTTCTTGACAACAATATTGACTGAGTTAACTTCTGGTACTCAGGTGGCAGCAATCTGGACCTTACCCGAGCTTCCAGGGTGGGTGCATCTTTTACATGGCCAGAGATGCTTGTATCCCAGCAGGTGGCCCTGTTCTCTCCAGAGGGCCTACGTGAGGTGTCTGGATGTTTTGCTGCAAAAACAAAAGTTTGTTTTCCCTGCAAGTCATTTTGCTGCATCACGAAGTCGATTCTGCTAAATACCTTAGAGTACTTTTAGAGTTGACTTAGAAAAAAGTGAGTTAAAGCTGATAACTTATGATAATGATGACAATAAGCTCACAATAAAAATGTTAGGTTTGGACTCCCAAGTGTCATTTTTTTAAGTGGAGCTCGTATTTCATCCCTCCCCACGAGCTCCCCTAAAAGCGCCTGGGTGGGAATCTAACACTTCACAGAGTTCACAAATGTTTGGGTAATTAATGGAGGAACAAGCACTCCTCGCAGGGCTGAGAAAAACAGCTGCAAGTAATAGCATCATTACGTTGCTATGACAACTCTAACCACTTCCAACCTACCACTGATCATACAAATTTTCATCTTTAACTAATAGTATACAGCTATGGTGAGGTTTTTTCTCTAATCAGTGTCAATGGCGACGTATTTAATGCTTAGAGTTGGGAGATTTTGGCCATGAAAATCCAGTCGAGCCACCTTAAATTTACACGCGGTAAACACAGCCCTGTGGCCTGAGAATTGCGCATGTGCGTTGTGACAGTATCTTAATTGGACCATTGGGCCTGTTCTTGACATAACATCGCGTGGGCTCAGTTAAACGTTCATATGCAAAAGAAGATTTAGGAACTCTTTCCTGGTGTTAGCAACATTGATGTGTAACGTGCCGTTATTATTGTCTTCAATCCAAAATAGGATAGACTCTTCGTACCACGACAGCACAGATACGTCGCTGATTCCTGCGCTGAACTCCGTCGCGGAGAGGCTTTCCAACATGGCTGTGGCGCCGAACAGTTCGGATGCCTGTCTCAGCATCGTTCATAGCCTGATGTGCCACAGACAAGGCGGCGAGTCGGAATCGTTCGCCAAGCGCGCTATCGAGTCTCTTGTCAAGAAACTAAAGGAGAAAAGAGATGAACTTGACTCTTTGATCACAGCTATTACGTCGGGAGGCACACATCCTTCGAAATGCGTTACAATCCAACGCACGCTAGACGGAAGGTTGCAAGTCGCTGGCCGAAAAGGCTTTCCGCATGTTATTTACGCGCGAATTTGGAGGTGGCCGGATTTACACAAGAACGAGCTAAAGCACGTCAAGTACTGCCAATTTGCCTTTGATTTAAAGTGTGACAGCGTTTGCGTGAATCCTTACCATTATGAGCGAGTTGTCTCGCCTGGTGAGTACACAAAATACCGAGTTTCAATATTATTATTGTATTATTTTTAAATAACAACTGCCCCAATCTGCTGGTAGATGGCTGCTTCGGCAAACTGTTGAGCCTGATAATGCGTCGTTTTTCTGTACAATTAAGAGATTGTCTTTGATGGCTTTAACGTCAAGTGAGACTAACTGCAACCTTGTTATTCCACAGATATCACAGGGCTGGCATTGTCGAGAAACCCAGGTACAATTTTATTTGATTTATGAATGTGTTAATATCTATTCGATCATTGACGGGTTTTTTTTGCGTGTTTTCTCGATTTTTATCCCCATGCTATGTACTGTTATTTCATTTCGTACTCGTGATAGGTATTTGTTTTAGCGTTGGTTAATGTCTTGTCTTCTACTGTGGCTTTCAATGTGTAATCATAATCCTAGTGATCCCTTTGTTGAGGCTCAGACATTCTGTCTGCTCCACAACACGTGGCCGGCTCAGCCATCTTTTAGTGTTCTAGTTGGTTGGCAGTAGACAATGGCTCCAGCCATTTCCTTGCTTTGAAGAAAGTTTCCATAGTAGGTTCCAAAATGTTGCGATTTCGAGTAGAAGGTGGTAATGGTGGTAAAAGTTAAGATCATTAGCAGACAAAGGGAAAGTGATAAAGAATGATTAAACAAAAATGGTCAACGGGTACATATGTTGACTGAAGAGTCACGATATATGCCAGGGGGTCTCAGTCAACTCGTGGTTTCCTTGTTGACAATAATTTTATTGTGCCTATTTATAGTAAGTATCCAGATATTGCTTCCAAGCTTAAATGATCATATAAGAAGTCTCTTATAGTGCAATTTCGCAGTAGAAGCAATTGTGGAAACACTTCTCAAACTTCTGTTGTTTAAAACAGCTCTTTAATCAGCTTAGCAGCACATGCCTTATTATTTTGCTAAACCTCCCAGAATACCACATAAATATATATCTGAAATCTACTTGTGCTTTTGGCATTAAACATTTTCCATCATCAGTTTTGCCTTTTTCTTGACTAACAGTTTTGTTTTTCCTCAAACACTAATTATATCAGTTTTACTTTTAAAGTTCACACCTTGCATTTTATGCATCTTTTTCACAAACAGGAAGATCAAAATTATTGAAATAAACATCAAACCCTTTATACATTCTTATAATACCAGCTCCAATACCAGCTGATAAATCTTTTGAATTTAATTTACAACTTGACTGCCTGGGCAGTGAAAGATTTTCTTTTTGAAGTAACTAGCTGTTTTAGCACTTTTTAAAATTTTGTGTTGTGATTCACTTGTAAATGAGTGGAGTTAACATCTGTCACATTGTAAGTAACTTCACCTTTATTGTTATTATGTTGAACTACCAAGTGAAAGCTTTTGAGAAAAAAGAAAGAAACAGATCTAGAATAGAGCTGCAAATGTTGTTGCTGAAAAGTTGGGTGTTCTTGGTGTTATATTTAGTTGACTATGCTGTAAATATTTTCAGTAACCTTTCAATCCTTTATATGATGCCATTGGTGATTGTACTGTGCACAACCAATTACATTATCCACTAGATGAGAGTCACAAAGAAGATTTAATGCTATTCACAGGGCTTCTGATAGGTTGTGGAAAAAAACTCAAATTTTCCCATACTTGCTTTCAGAGTCAAGTTAGAGGAAAAAGTGGCTGATTTCAGAGGAAATTTGTGGGAATTTTCAGGGCAAAAAATGAAAGAACCAAAAGAAAGCCTACTTGTTGTATTTTACCCGGCAAATTTCATGTGAGTTAAAAAAGTCATTATAGAGTAGAAACATTTAGCCAGACTTTGAGATGGGTTGTATGTGTAGTGCTCTCAAGTACAGAATACTGATGTTTTATCAACACGTACTAACACATAGCTTTTTTTTCACTGACAGCAAGTTAAATTTAGAAATCAAATTCAGAGGGAATTGTTTTGTTTTCTCTGCACCAATATTTTAGATATTAATTAAACTGGGTGATAAAAGCTAAAATGGACAGCCTTATGTAAGTTTCTAGGAGGCCATAAACCTGAAGTATAGTAAATAGTACAACTGTCTTGTGATCTGATGTTTTTCCAGAGGGCAAAAAATTGTTCATGAGCTCTAACACTATACTTCATTATTGAAAGGAAAGTCTTACAATGATAAAATTGTAGTACGTGTATTGTGTTTGCTCTGCAGTGATCTACAGGACACTGTCTTGTGAGTGAGGCTTTATAGGTACTCACAATGACCCATCTTCATCAATATTTTTAATTACCAATGAAAACACACTGGAAAATAGACAGTTATTAAAAGACAGGCAAGTTATATTTGGAGGTGTTAATTTTGTAAAAATTTAATACCTCATTAAGATTTACTTAGAAAGGATTTAATCAGAGCTTACTGTCATTAAGCACAGATTTGATTAGAGTTAATGCAAGCATACACTTGAAATCCGTAGTTGCAGGTACCAACAATTATACTCTATTATTTTATTAAAGCATTTTAAATCACGTATTTTTATTTCCACTTTTTACAAATAATCATTGAACCATGAAATTTTATACATTCAACTTTTCCGTTATATTATAAACTATAATACCACAAGAACTTGAGAGGGAAGCACAACTTACTATAAAAAATGGCTTTTAGTAATAATGTGATAAGAATCATTGGCATTTATTATTTTACCAGTAAAGGTATTAGCATTCTTTTGTTATGAGTATTTTAAATACTCTTAGTGCATGTTTCCAATGCAAAGCCCAGAAAAGCAAAAAAAAAAAAATAGGCCTTTTCCTCTTACAATTCTGCAGGCCCCAGTATGGATATAACATTAAGAAAACCATCCCTTTATAATTCAATGAATCAAATAAAATGTTATTGAAGATAAATAAAAAAAAGTCTAATTACACAACATTTCAATGTCGCCATGACATACATGTACATGTACTCTGCATCTCACTGATCACACACATTGGTAATTATACACCATGCGTTGTTGATTAATTAAGGGTTGTTTGGGCTCACGCATTTTAAGATCACCAATTTTTTGGTGTGTAAATACTGGTTGAAGGATGTGGTCAATTTTCTTGCTTAGATTAGAAAGTTGTGTTTTCTCTTTGTCGGCCAACTTTTGATCTTTAACCCTCTAAGCCCCAAGATCCACATACAAATTCTCCATACTGATCTTCATACATTACTCTTAAGAACAGTTGAGAGAATTTGGTTTAAGATCAAAGTGTCCTCTCTTTGGTTATTCAATTTAGTAATTCTCATAACCTTTACTCTGGTTGTTAGGAGAAAATTGATGTTAGTTACTCTTGAGACCTAAAGGGTTTATTGGCAATACCACTCAGTGAATAATATTTTATTAAATTCAATAGCAGAAAATATTCAGATGGACTGACAAGCATTCAGTCAGACACATCTACTCTATGGCAGGTGTATGCACCAGAGAATGCCAGTCCATCTTAGTGAGGGCTTTTTTACTGTTCTTACATTGAAAACAAATAATATTATGAAGTGCTGTTTTGTAAATGGTGTTGATATTTAAAACAAGGGAGTTTAATACCTCTTGGCAATTCAGGAAAGGCCTCAATGTAATTTGTAATGGGAAACTTTGTTTAGTATGAGTCATGATCAGCTCTTATCCTTTGACCAAACAGTAACCAGGACTGGAATGTATAGCTGCCATTGTTGTTTAGCATTTAGCATCAAGTTTTGTGACATCAAGTTTGTAATAATTACTGGAAATGTTTTCAATTTATTCAGTATTACCATTAGAGATGAGGGATTTTCTAGTGTTGTGCCTAGTTTTTTTTAACTACAAGAGAAAGGATGAAGGAGCAAACAACATTGTAAAATTGCAAGAATTCAAATTATTATGTTTAGTTTTTAAAACCCTGATGTAATTAATATGTAGGAGAAAACCTTAAAATAGAACAATAATATTTTTGTTGTGGTATGAAATTAATGTTCTATGCAAACTTTGATTTAATCTCTGATCCAATTAAAACGTTTATTCATTTTTGAGTCATATTTACCAACAGTCTGTTGTCTAGGTACACTATTAAAGTTTTGTTTTTACAACTCAGTTTACGTGTATTATGGTCTTCCATTAAATACAAGCAGGTAGCCACAGAGACTAAAAAGGTCTTTAGTTTATATTCTTGAACACTGACAGACATTGCACTTCTATAGATTGGGTCTAGTTTGTAAAAAGGAAGAGACAACACCCTTAACTGTTCCTGTTGTAGTCTTGTAGTTGTTTCAACCTCTGACAGCTTTTTTCAGTAATTGGTTCTATCAATAAAAAATAAAAAATAATTTTTATTTCAAAAATCAAGAAGAGAAATAAAGTATCAAAAAACCTTATCATGTCATCAGCTTGACACAACCATTTTCAATTATGGTGGAAAATTAATCACCAGAACAGAGTTTTTTTTAGGGGTTGCCTTTATATTGCCATGTTGAGAATTCTTTTTGATGTTAATGAACCAATCTCTTGCCTCACTCTGCTAGATGGAGCTTATGCCAGTAATTCGCAACCAGATCCTGACTTTCATCAAGCTGTTGGTCCCACAGCTCATCATTATCCTGGTTTGTAATGTCTTTTTCCTAGACATACTATTTAAAACTAATTTTAAATCGTCAGGGGCTTAAATTAGATTTGCACTTTTGATTAAGGAAAGTAGGCTTTTTTATTAAAGAACTTTTCATACCTCTGGAGGAAAAGTTGATTTGCTCAGAATTTTTTCTTGTACACTTTTCTCTTTTTTTTGTGGGGTTGGTGGGGGGGGGGGGGGGAATAGATGTTTTTGTAAAAAACTTAATATTTTAATAGTCAAGGACAGTTAAAGGGAGGTATTTGCCTCACAAAAGATAGGCCCTCATCTAACAAAAGTGGTCGGATCACCGAATATCAATAAACTTTCCCTACTCAAACAACCATCCTCACAAAAAAAAGAGAAAAGTGTACAAGAAAAAATTCTGATCAAATCATCTTTTCCTCCAGAGGTATGAAAGGTTATTTAATAAATATATGCTTTTTTTGATAAATTTTCTTATACTTATTTTTAAATATTTTTTATGTTTCGAGTTTTTTTTGTTTTAATTTTTTTTTTTTTTTTTGGGTGGGGTGGGGGGGGGGGAGGGGAAAGTTGAGGGGGATGAACCCCTACCCAACGCCTTGGTAGTTCAGGCATATTCCCTTAGCATGTGGATGTGTTAAATTCAACGGGATTAAACAGTGAACAAATTCATAAATTGAAATAACTATATGTAATAATGTATCTTGAAAAAGTAATGAATTTCCCATGTGGTATTAAACAGCTGCTTTCTCATTCCTTGTTGTTTGTGCACCATACTGGTCCACTGTTGTTTGCACCTATCAGCAATTTAATGGTGTTGGCTGAAAGATGACAGTTGCTAATTTGAATTATAATATTATGTTGACTGGATATGTGTGGTTAAAGCCCTAAACAGGTATAACATGTTGGTCTATAATCATTTAACATCATTGAATTTGTTGGAACACCTCATTGGATGTTGTTGATTGATGTTGGGTCAGATTTGATTGAGTTTCATCTTGTCATCCAAGATCATCCAACTTTTGTCCTATTTTCATGCATGATGGCCCATGTCATTACATGTGTATGTTGCCATGATTTAACAACTTTCACAGTAATTATGTACCTGCACTTCTTTTGTTTGGTGTATTATTTTATTAGTTATACAGTGATGGCTCTGCACAAGTATATTACAGTTTGGACAATGATCTAAACTAGACTCCACTTTGAACCTTAAATCATTTATATTCCTTCTTCCTGCAGGTAGCCAGTCACTCCCTGCTTCAGTCGTTGGAGGACCTCCGCATCATGATATGTACCCTGGAGTGAATGCTGCTGGTGATCATGGTATGGGACCAATCTTCCCAGCTTTATATCATAGTTGTCATTTGAAATGTATAGTTGCACATCTGCTTGTCATTTGTTGGTAGTAAACAAGGAAAACTAGTTTAGTGCTTGAAAAAAGTCCTGTTTGATTGTCTGAGACAAGTAGATTTTCTTGCCAGGCAAGTAACTTGTTAAGGTCACTTGTCCAATGGACATGACTCCAGGCAAGACTTTTTATAATTTATTTTTAAATGTACTGTTAATAAACTTTTGCCTGTAAAATCTTTCTCCTGCAATAAGATTACAAGAAAGGTTATTATTAACTTTGATAATGTCACACTTTGCTATAGGTGGACCACCTAGTTGGGGAGCAGTTTCAGCAACTTACACCCCTGGGCCACACCCGGGAAGTGGATATTGTAAGTTAGTATTTCTAGAGTTTCTGTGGTATGTAATCCTAAATGCCTTCACAGGACACAACCATGATTTGTCTGGCATCAATAATCTAAACCCATTTGCCCCTGGAGATTTTGCCATAAAACGCGTTTTGAAACTATAAGTCAGTGGTTTTCTGGTAACTGTCATGCTACAGTATAAAGAGGCAAAACTTACCACAAAGCCATTTACAGGTCGTACACTTTGCCGCCTTCTGATTCAGATGCAAAATATTAGCTTGCAAAGTTTGGGCATGCTCAGAAAAAAAACGTTTTGGGTTTAAATGTGAGACCCCTAGTGAAGATTGACTTTTACTTTTCACTTTCTCTCCTCCCCTCTTTTTTCACTTTTCCTGACTCATTTTTTTATTTCTCTTGCTGAGCATTTAGTAGGCTTCATTTTGGTGGGAAAAGTTTTTAGGGACATGGATCCGCATGGGCGGCCATGGGTGGCTCAGGGGCAAATGGATTAAAACAATAAAACAATAATTTTCCTGATACAAATCCCTCTGAGACTGTGCTTTGCTCATTATCATCATAATCATCATTCAGCTGCTAAGCAAATTTAAAATGTAACACTAACATTCTCCTGTAGTAACAAAAGATACAACTGAAGAAGTTTCAGTAACTAACATGACAATAAGATTATAAATTTATTGTTTGAAATTATTGATCATTGGCCTTCCATACTTCTACCAAAACACTTTTGGTTTGCTGATCAGTACTACCACACGGCAAAATATTTTGTAAAACAGTTAGATAGAAAATTTTACTTATTTTCTATTATTATACTGAAAGATATTTTTTAATGTCTATAAAAAAGTTTATCATCATGACCATATTAAAGGTAAAGAAAACGCCTCTAACTTGCAGGAAAAGACACTAGCTTCCAATCTTACACTGAAAAATGGAACTTAGCTGAAAGCAATATTTCCTACATGTCAGCTTCTTTGTCTTTTGTCATTTAAAAGATCTGAACAAACTTGTTGGAGTCTCCTGTCAAAGCTTGCTTTTCTAAATTACCTTTATACATGTACACTAATGACGTTAAGAAGTCTGGCTGCCAGGTTCAAAACAGCAAGGCTGTTAAGGGAACTTGTAGCTGCACTGCAGCTGTTACTATTGTATTCAACATAGCATAACCTTAAATTTTGAATTGGCAAATGACAAATCTTTTTTTAGGTTGTTATTTGTTAAAAATATTCAGAATAATGGGAAAAACAAGAAATGGCGAGATGGACAACCATAAATTAATATTTTTTCAGGTTGTTATTTGTTAAGAATATTCAAAATGATGATCGGATAACTGGAAAAAAGGAATTAATGATAAGAACAACCATAAAATCTCTTTTTGGTTGTTATTATTTTGTTAAAAGTATTCGAAATAGGAAAAAAGGAATTTATGATATGAACAACCACAAAATATATTTTTTAGGTTGTATTCAAAACAATGGGAAAAAAGGAATAGGCAATATGAACAACCTTAAAATTTTTTTTGAGGTTGTTTTTGGTTAAGAATATTTCTAACAATAGCACAGATGGACAACCATTACTGCAAAATTAATTATATAGCAGCAGGTGAAAGTGCAGGTAGAAAATAAATCTTCAGTTTGTCAAATTTCTGTTTTAAAAATTTTCCCCTTGGATTAGCTGGAAAAGTGGTTGGTTAAGCATTGGTAAATTTGCCTTTTTAATGGTATTCTTCAGGGATAACGGAGAAATATTTAACACAATAATTTAGATGGTGTTATGTGGAAGCAGGGTTTGCCATTTGCATGACAAAGAATTTCTGTGGATTTGCAAAGAAAATGAATCCATGTAGAGGCTGGCCAAGACAAGATTTGGATGGCAACTGCTATGGAATCCAGCACCCTAAACCATTCCACCTTGCATGCTGAAAAATAAGTCACTTACAGTGAAAAATCTAACCCCTTTATCTCTTGGACGTGGAAAATTAATGGAGAACCAACAAAATAAAACCAAAGAATCATCATTAACGAAAAGAATTCATTCATTGTTTTTTTCAATGTTCTTTAGGGACCCAAGATGCTGCTGCTGACATCCAAGATAGTGCCCCTTTATCCAAACATCCTCGTAAGTGAATGTACAGATTTTAAATACATGTACACTTCCATTTACAAGAGACGGATATCAAAAAATTGGAATTTCACTTGGCAAAAGACCAAGGGTGAAACAAACCTGACCGTAGGAATTAAATACTATTGAAACGAGTACATTGAGTTTAAAAAGTTTCTGAAGCCAAATCAATTGCAAGATTAGCCTGGCACAGTTACAGTTTTAAGTCCTGCATTTAATCATTTTAGTTCACGTCAAGTGTCATGAACAAGCTAGTTTGTTGACAAGCTTTTTAGTATTTGGGTAAAGAGGTGACTACACGTAAAGAGACTCGGAGCGAGAAAGAAGAAACCTTCTTTTGGCACAAAAATCAAGTCAAGGTTTATGCCCACATAAACTATTTTAATTTTTTCAGCTTGAAATGCGAAAATACCTGTACGTTCCAGAGAGCCTCTAAAGAAATGTATCACAAACACAGCAGCTACCATATTTCTAACCATTTTACTAAACATTATTCAGCGCCAGGTGTGCCTAAAATCTTTTTTATAAAATAATTTGGAGACACCTTTGAAATGAGACTGAATGCGGCTCTTTTTATTTACTCGATCCATCTCGAGGTCACGTGATCTTTTTCAGATCAAAATAATTATTATGGGATGAACTTTGCCCGTTCCAGGCTCCGAGTTCATTTATGCATCATCCCCCACTATCCGAGAGCCGACCCGAGAGCCTGAAACAGGCTAGGATGTTAAATAAATGTCAGATGGAAAGGGCATAAAAGGTACTGAGTTAATGGCCAGATGTTTGGTTTTAGAGTGTTAACAGTGATATTTTATGGCTGCTTCTCTGAATATCGGACAAGCAAGTCTTGCATGTCATTCAGCTCCAAAGTGGCTTTCTGGCTTATTTCTATCACTGGTGTTGTTTAAGTTGTAGCCAATAATTTTTTTGGTGATGCAATAGCCTGCAGTGCAGGCGTTTTCTTTGAGCGCGCAATTTGCTCGCGAAAGCGTCATGTTGAAACTTCCCGAAGAGAGGAGGAAATGGGGCGAGTCAACGGGAGCGGGGAGGGGGCGGGGAGAGAGAAGAGAAAACTTTTTTCTCCTTTCCCCCTCCCCCCTTTCCTTCTTTCGTCCTCGCACCTACCGTAAGGGTTACTATTTCTACTCTCCCCAATCTTCCACTGTCATAAAATCAAAGATGGAGGCTACAACAACACAACGAACACGAACAAGCTTTTGCCCACCCAAAATACGCCTGCACTGCAGGCTAGTGATGCAAAAAACAAAGTACTTGAAACATAAATGAAATTTTTATTCGGCTAAGAGGAGACACCTTGTTTTTATCTCATTTTGTTTTTGTTTTTGTTTTTTCTTATTTTTTGTACAGCTCCTGAGAACTGGTGTTCTATATCGTACTTTGAACTTGACCAGCAGGTCGGTGAGATTTTTAAGGTTATGTCGTCGTGTCCTTCTGTTAAGGTGGATGGTTATGTTGATCCCTCAGGTGGCAGCCGGTTTTGTCTCGGCCAACTCTCCAACGTTCATAGAACAGATGCTAGTGAGAAAGCTAGGCTACACATAGGTTAGTAAAGGTTGTGCCCTGTCCTTCTTATGAAAGATTAAAAATAGAAAAACATTTTACGTTTACAGTTTAATATTGAAACCTCATAAGCTGTCATGTGCGAAAATCTGAAAGCTTTCTGACTGAGTACCTTCGTCCTTCCTTAGTGGACATTTTATCATCATCATTGTATTATTTTTTTTTCCAAGGAGGCCTACATGCAGTGCTGCGTTTGTTGTTATTGTTTCTTATAAGAATACCACTTTTTTTATTGCAGGGCACTGGGAGGGTACTGATGTTGAGTCCGCAGTATATTTAGGGACTTCTTCTGGTTGTGGAATTGATTTAAAATTCCTTATCGATGGATTGGCCTAGCAGTTCCTAAATCTATCCCTGGAATTAAGCTTAATGTAACAACTTACTACACACGTTTTCCTTCCTTCTTTTCTTTTTTCTTTTGTAGGTAAAGGAGTCCAGCTGGACTTGAGAGGTGAAGGTGACGTGTGGGTTCGTTGTCTTAGCGAACACAGCGTGTTTGTTCAAAGTTATTATTTAGATAGAGAAGCTGGGCGTTGTCCAGGTGATGCTGTCCACAAAATCTACCCTTCAGCCTACATAAAGGTATTTGATTTACGTCAGTGCTACAGACAAATCAAACAACAGGCTCACGCTGCCCAAGCCGCTGCAGCCGCTCAAGCCGCAGCCATTTCTACTGGTGTAGGGCCTGGCGCCTTGATACCGCAGATCGGCATGAGCGTGGGCGTCGATGATCTTCGAAGGCTGTGTATTCTTCGACTTAGCTTCGTTAAAGGCTGGGGCCCAGATTACCCTCGTAAAAGTATCAAAGAAACACCATGCTGGATAGAGATTCACCTGCATCGCGCTTTGCAGTTGTTGGATGAGATCTTAATTACTATGCCAATTAACGAGCCTCGACCGCATGATACATGACTACTGATCTGTAAACGCGTCTGCCTGGCTTCAATTATGAAAATTTTATTGAATCACTATTTGCAGGTTAAACCTACCTGAGCGACTAAACTAGTTTCCCTTTCAATTTCCTTTTTGGGTGGTCGCTCGTTCAGGTTTAGTGTACATTTTATTTTTATTTTATTATATTATTATTATGTCTTTTAACGCATGTCTAGTAGAAAATTAGACGGTAAAAGGCGTAGTGCGGCTGGTGATGTTTCTATAGACATACTAATCTACCGTCTTTTAGGGAATTTTGTTGCACAACTTTCACGGAATGGTGCGCCATTAAAGACGGCTATGTACACCTAATTGCAGTAACGTTGTCATACAAAATTAAAGTTGCGCAAAAACCGCTTTTTGCTCGTTCGCTGTTTCACTGCTCGCTCGCTATTTTCGCTCGTCCGCACTGACCGAGAACCTGGAACAGGCTACCGATCCTAAAATGTGGTGCGAGTGCGCCTAATTAAGTCCTGTCTATTGTTTGTTTGTTTGTTTGTTTCTCTCTTGCTCTCTTTTTCTCCATGCCAGTGTTGATGCAGTTAGGTGTCCAGCATTATAATAATTAGTTTCGCTTGACTGCGGCCGATGTTCACCCAAAGCTTGTGAGGTTTTTTGATGTTTTGGAGCAATAATAGATCGAGTAAAGCGTTCACACACGAAATTATGGAAGTGAGTTGGTGGACTGGAGAGGTGCATTACCTTTGCTTCTTGCCAAACTTTACCTTTCCGCGAGAATCAACGCGCCCCGCAAGGCATTGTTGGTGAACATGGACCTTTAGTATTAATCATGATGATCAAAGAAAAATAGTAATACGAAAAATGTGTCATAAGCACGAGCTTTCTGTTGTTAAACTCTGAGAAATGTGCTCCTTGTTCACTGAAAATGTTTCTTCATTGAGAATATCCAAAAGCTTTTGAGATCTATGGGAGTGGCTTTTGAGATCTGTGAGATACATTATCAGTTTAATATGAAATCAACGATTTCAAAAGTCTTTCCTTAGCTTAGGCCAGATTTTCGTCGCTCTCTCGGGTCCGGGCTTGTTCCTCCCCACGCGACAAGAGTCTTTTCGAGGGAGGAGCGCGGTTTCATTTCCCGAACAGCGGCTGGTAATGGAGCCTATCTTTAGCTTCCTTGTTGTAAATGTGTGGGTGAATTTTAAAAGTGTTGTCTTTCACAGAAAGTGAAGAAAGTTTGTTCTGTCTCTCTTATTGTTAATCTTCGTAGTCAGAAGGTCATAAATATCGGTCGCTTACCTTTCAACTTCTTTGATTGTTTATAGAAAATTTTGTCAACTTCTCCACGATAACTGTTTTTCAGTTGAACTTTTTTTTTTTGATCCTCGGCTTACATTCTTTTGTTAAAGCTTTAGGTAACTATTTTTTCCATTCTTTTTATTTCTAAGCTTCGTAACGTCTATGTGGTTTTAACTGTTGTTGTAAATTTTTGTCGATACCATTTTTGCTCTCTTTAAAGTCACCTAGGAAACGTACCGTCCTTGGAAAGCTAAACTGTTCAAGATTATCACGGTTAACTTAACTTAATTTAACCAGTTCTGTTTTTATCTCCGTTACTTGTTACCGGGTGATATATTTTACTTATAGCACCACATGTAAGCGAAGGTTCACATCTTGTGGTCTATACTGAACTGTATAAATGGACGGTTTCAAACTGTGGTGCTGTGTTGTACCGAAACATAAGTTGGGCTTAAACATTGTCTTCAGTTTTTCTTAGGACGATTTTAATATATGTGACAATTTGAAAACAATGGTTATGTACAATTTCTGGAGGCAGGGTAAACAACGTCCATTGAAGATTATGTGTTGCTACTTAAACCAGTATTCTCTTTCAATACGTGTACATTGAAGACAAAGGAGCAAATCCACTGAGAATGTAAACTGAAGTATACAACAAAACAAAGCAGCCATTAAATGTCGATTTTTCAAAAGTCACGTTTCGAGCCCTGCTCCTTCTTTCGGAGTGAATTACAATGTAACGCTCAAACGTCAGCTTTTGGAATTATGTACAAGTTATTAACCTTATAAATCGAATTGTTAGTGATTTCTTGAAGCGAACTCTTGCAATCTAACGTTGCTAAAGGTAATTTTTAGGTAGAGGTTAGCATCTTTACTCGCGTTAGTGGTATATAGCGTAAAGAATATTAGAATATAAGATTAGTTTCTAAAAAGAAAAATATTTTTGGTGCCCTGTGACTTTTTCCTCGCAGTATGTCGACTTGTATTCTTGGAGGAAACGTGCAACAATTGTAAATATGTTATGTTTTAAAATAATGCACTGCTCTTTAGTTTCTACAGAGCGAAGCACTGCGAGGAAACAAAACACGGAACACGCTAAAAAGTAAAAGTTAATAAACACATATTGAAAATATCACACTGGGTGATTGTCCTTTTTCTGCCCTTCTCCTGAATGTTGCTTCGTGTATGACTGAAGTGGATTTCGTAGCTTAGCTGGCTTAGCTTGCTGACAGTGCCCGCTGTACGGTCTTGTGTACTACTGAAGGTGTATTATGTCATATTTAGATTATACATGCCCAGTTATTCACTATGCGTTAACCAAGTGCCTGCTAGTTGAAGCACAAGAGAGATCTCTGTACGCCACTTCCACATTTCCCATAATGCACCTTATTTGCCCCCCAAAATTTTGCATAACCTTTGTTTTCATTTCTCCTGGGTATAACAGCCATCCCAAGAGATATTGAAAACACTGCTCATGTAAATTTTTTGGGGGGTAAATAACGTGCATTATGGGAAATGTGGAAGTGGCGCCGGTATTGCGTTTTCCCAGACGTTTGTTACGCTGATGCCTTCAGGCTTGCTGGTGTTGACTCCACGAGACTCGGCCCATCACCAACAACTCACTTATTTACTCATGTTAACTTTTCCAATCAGTTCTTTGAAAAACGCATCCAAAAAGATTCACATTTTTTTTGCTGCCCGCACAGGGCAGCCTCCAATTTCTGTCCTTAGATCTCGACTACAGCAACAACAACTTTATTTGTACTAAGCGGCTATCTGTTGTTCAACAACAACAACGAGCTTTATTTGCATGACCATACAAACACATACAGTATTGCAAAAGCTATGTTTAGGAATCAAAATTACAACACAGGGCAATTACGTTACTTTGTTACGTTGTTACGTTTGGATGTTTGTTAGACGTTCCCAGGCCTTGCGGCGCAGCACCCGATCAAAAGCGAAGTGAAATGGATGACGCTCTAAATTTCAAAATTTTGTGAGTGATCCTGAAGAAGGTCTTTAATTCCTTTTGAACACTACTCTAAAAATAAATTGAGATAAACCTGTTATGGAGTTCCTTAGCACCGCAAATACTTGAGTTCTTTGACATTCGTTTTGTTAATGTTTCGACCAAAGTAGAAAATCGGTCGCGAGTGCGGCAACTTATTAGCTTGTCGTACAGGTATAAAATTAAGTATTCCGGGGGCTATTCGTTAGGTAGCGAATGTTTTAGCGAGAATTCGTTGGGAAGACGTTGTTCTTTCATGTATCAGCCGTGGATACTGTGCGCTCCATTTTCATTTTAAATAGCTTTAAATGCTCGTTGATAATAGATTGAAATCTTTAGCCATTCATTATTTGGCATTATGTTCTGTGTTGGCGTTTATTTTAGCCTGCGAAAACATCGGTTTCTCCTCGCTCTTCGCCGCCGGGGACGTTTCGCGCGAAACGTCCCCATCGACGAGGAGAGAGGAGAAACCGATGTTTTCGCAGGCTACGTTTATTTTAAACTATTTTGCCTTTTAAAAACTCATACATCACGATGAAGAAAAGTTTGGGGCGGCAGTTGACTTCCAATGTCAGGGGCACCCAACAGGAAATTTTGCCTAAAAGACCTAAAACAACAACAAAGCATAAATAAAGCTTTCTGAAGCCATTTTAAGCATTTTGGGAGATTGCTGGGAAAAACTTATCTGTTCCTAACCCCCAGCAAGACAAATGGAAGAGTTCCCAGCCAGCAAGGTGCACCTACAACCTAACCTGACTTACCGGGAAGTTTCCCCGCAGACATATGTCCAGACATTACAGGCCAGTTTGAGTGTGGTCATAGAGCAAAATTCAGACCTTCAGTGTGTTGGGGGGAGGGGGGAAGATAGGAAATTGGGTGTGGCCAAGGGGCGAAATTCCCCGCTTTATTGAAGGGGGGAAGGGGGGGAAGGGAAGAGAGGTTTCTGATAAATAGCTCATAGCAGCTATTCTAGACATCGAAATCCCCTCAGACACCCTGAATTGTCTATTTCCCAGCAACACATTCCTTCCAAGGACATATTATTTTTCCCAACTCCCAACCAGCAAAAATTTGCCTGAAGAACAGATATTTTGAGCCTTGCATTGCGTATTCACAAGTGGCAAGTCTTGAGTGCAACGCTTGGACACTACTATAGCCAATATTACCGCTGAGTCACGGAACTTTTGGCTGATTAAATTGGTGAAAAAACAAAGTTTAATTTGATCCATTCAGATCCTTTGGTTGCCCCTGCAATATGGAACCTCTAGTTTTACTAAAACCGTGCAGCAGGTCAAGGAGACAGACGAGATCAACATGAGGATATCATGAAGCCGAAGATTAGCTCTTTGGAGATGTTTTCGGAATTTCCTTTTTAGCTCTTATTACATTGTGGTTATTACTTTTAACGGTAGTCAGGAGCAGCCGATAATCGCATCCTGAGGTAGTCTATTTTTAGCTAAGGATAGTTTTGGAATTCGTTATGTTCTTTGCACAATCCATTACTTTTTTTTTTTTTTTGCAAAGCGTGCGGGTAGCAGCGGGCGAAAACCCGAAAATCTTGAGTTTTTTTTCCTGCGGTCCCAGAGATCTTTCGTCATTGCTAATTTAGGTCCCACCCCCACGAATCTGGATACTTTTTAAAAACGCATATTTTACACGCTGACCGAAACCACGCTCCAGAGTGGTGTTTTTTAATTTGGGATCGGGACTGATAGATAATTCACGTTAGAATGCGGTTTCAGCCTGATCCTTTTCGTAGGCTGCGTACAGTCCGCCTTTTCTGTTAGATCCGTCGAGCTGGGGGCACAAACGCTTTTAGCCAAAAGGGATTGGGGCGAGACAACAAAAAGGTGAAGCAATAGCCCACAGTTCGATATATTAAAATTCTAACATGACTCCGAGGCTTTCGGTCATTTTTTTTGTTTGTTTGGCTTTCTTTGTGCTCAAGTCTTTTCTGGGAATTGCGAGACAATGGAGTCTTGAAAAATTTGCAATTTTGACCCTGAAGCCTCGAAGTCATGTTAGAATTTTAATATATCGAGCTATTCTTGGTACTGCGGCGCTCGGATTCCTGGGAACGAGATGGCTCATCCCCTTGTGTTCGCGTCAGCGTAAACTTGAAACAGCTTGAGGAGGAAACTGAGCTTGGCGATAACAAGTCATTTAATGACTTATACAAGAAAAATAATGAAATAAGATCGTGTTAAAAACTAATAATAAACATGAATAGGCACACGCAGATGACAACAACAACAACAAAAACTTTATTTAAATCTTTCAATTATATAATAAGACAATACCGTAAATGATCGATTAAGCACCGCTACTCGAATAAGCGCAGCTCTCGAATAAGCGCCGCGGCGCTAATTTGGGAATTTACAAATTAACGCCCCACCTTTGTAGCCCGCCCACGCCCTGGTTACGACGCTTGATATAGAGAGATATCAAAACCAAATCGCTGTATAAGACCTCGACCAACTCTTGAAACCGGGTTCATATAACAGTTCCAGGTGTACATATTTATATAATTTAAATTGCGCATACCTAGTACGCGCCTCACTTAATTCTCTCTATATTCCTCTCGGTGTTTTACCCGTAGCTGAAATAAGCGCCACTCTCGTATAAGTGCCGCACCTATAACAGGGAAAATAAAACAAGCGCAGCGGCGCTTAATCGATCATTTACGGTACTTGATGCCCGTAATTAGCTGAAGCTAATCGGGACGGGCAGCGGGCAGCGGGCAGCGGGCAAAAAAAATTACAAAAACAAAACCAGACGCACTCCAGTTTGTTTGTTAATTAATCATAGTTGCATGATATTGGTGATTGATCCCTAACTCGAGTTCAATGGTCGATCGCGACTACATGTATTCATTTTTCTAAGTACCGTATTTGGAAATCCTTGCTGGGCCTCATTAATTCCCTCAAAGAGAACAGCTTTGCACGTACTGATCTGTTTGCACATTTTTTTTTCTGATCGTAGGCCTGATCCGCACTTCTGGATCTCGAATTAATTATCGTCTATGTTTACGTTCTTATGATATTTTCGTGTTGCTTGATGCCCCCGCTGAAGAGCTCAAGAACGTTAGCTGTTAGAGTTTTTCATTTTCGAGACTGGTCAGCTCAATTTCTGTTCAGTACCAAAATGCATTTGAGGACTTCCTTGAAACCGAAGATGCGTTACCTGACCTTTCCTCTCTCAGAGGTGTTGCCGAGAAGAATGCGAAGAAACTAAAGCAAAAATTGTTAGCTGTAGAGAAAATTGGATTCTAATACCAGCGCAGTTTTTCCGCCTTCTTTCTCTCCAGTTTTGTCTTGCTTGTGGGAAAGTTAAAAATGAAGTAAAACACTTTCATTTTTTGTGTCATCTGTTCGTTCGTGTTTTAATCAAACTGGAGACAGGCCTACCGCAGCAGCAAGTGGCTGAACACTAAACGACAAGGACAAATAAGGTCTCAAAATCGTAGATAATTATCCAGCTGAATGTACCAGTTACATTCTTCGTGTTTCCCGCCAGGGCAGGAGCCTGAAAAATGCAAGAAGTGACCTAAATCTGGGTTTTTTCTTCGTTTAACCACCCAATATCTGTATACTTATATTTGTTTCTAATGATAATTGTCTTCAATATCTTCTTTCGAAGTGTTGGTATTGTATGGAAAACAGTGTTTTAGACAAGGCGACTTTGATCTCAGTATGTTACGTCTCATTGTCAGATCCTACTAACGCAAGTAGTAGTCCTCTTGTTGCGAGCGGCGCTGGCCATTCTCTTTAACTGACGGACGAAGAATGAGAGACTTAATCGCAAATCGAATGCGTCTCATTTTCCAACAGTAAATGAAGGGATTTAGAGATGAATTAAGAAACAACAGTATTCCTGTATAAGGGTGTACTTGCTCAATCCATGTGTCTTGGCCAGAGCTTTCAGTACGTATTGCAGCGGAAGCTACGTGAATAGTAACACAGGGTATATAACAAATTGAAAACACAACAAAGACGTAGAATATACTTATTGTTGATCTTACAATCTTGGCAACATTCGCTATATCACTTCTTTGCGTTTCTTGTTGAACTTGTAGGGTCTTAAGATGTTTGGTATGCCTTCGTACGACTCCGTGTATCTTGCAATAAATCGCAGCGTTGACTACAAGACAAAGAACCTCCATTGCAATGAAAAAACCATCCGCTGTTTCGATCAAACGCAATCTGTAAACTAGCGAAAGAACTGCACTGAGAATCCAAATAAAAATCACCACAGAAACGATACGTTTACGAGTCACCAGTTCTTTGTATCTTAGGTGAAGATAAAGAGCCAAAAATCTGTCTATGGTTAGAGCAGTAACACTAAAGAATGAAGCGTAAGTAAAGAAGCTAGCGGGGATGAGACAGAACGGGTTTATGGATTCATGCAAGACAGTTAATGTGCTCTCACCTTTTATGTCTAAAACATAAACGGCAATGGTTAAAGGCTGCACCAACAAGCCAATACCAAGATCAGAAACTGCCATACTAAGAAGCAATATTTTCAGTGGTATTGGCAAGGCCGACGAACCTGGTAACGCGGGCTGTGAACCAGCTGACAAAGATGAAATTTTTCTGATGGCATGGATTGTCAGACAGTTAAACACTACAGCAATACAACCAAGGACGCCATTGAGAACGCAGATAACTATGTAAGACGAATATGACATGTCTGCTACTTTCTTATGATCAGAGCCTGTGAAGAAGAAAACGAAAAGCAGTTTCAATATAAACTTAGCCAGACTCAGTCGATGGCTTAAATGATCAGCGCCACGCATACAATCTCCGTCTGAACAGAACTGCCGTTGTAACTGAGTTAATGAGTGCTTCGCCGGGCCGCTTTATAACTGATATCTTGAGTACACTTAAAGGAAAAAGCATAAATTGAAGGAAAAAAGTGCAGCTGAAAAATGAGTCACCTGTGTCAGCTTAAGAATCAACTTCCTTTCCGTTTATCTAATATTGTGGATGTCCAGTGATGATAAAGGTATTGAGTATAATATTCAGTACCGACTGGTAACGAAAGAAATTGTTTAATGTCAGTATGAATAACTCACGGTTTAAGCCAGTATTTCTTTTAGTAATTTACATTTTCCCAGCTCTTAAGGTTGTTTCGGTTTAACAGCTTGCGAAGGAGACAACAATTTTGTATCCGGTAACCAAAGGAAATACGGACAAAAAAGTTGACTACCAAGCTAAGGTAACTGCTGCGTGATCAGAATTAAGAGGGATCGTTACCTGACGAGCATGTGTTCAACAAATTTCAAAAAAGTCAATATAATGCGGAAACCGCGTTGGATCAACTTCACGGCGTCTTCAGCATGTGTCAGATGGGTTGATAACAAGAGCTAGCCCTTATCTGACGTCACTGGGACACGCGCGGCAAATAAACCCACCTGCAACCCGGTCAGCACCAGTCTGCGATTTTAAAAAGTTTCATAAACGCAGGTAAGCTGAAAGGACTACCCAGGATGGCGGATGGGGCCAATTTCGGCGAAATGTTCCGTTTACAAACAAGGCTTCCTTTTCAGTTTGTCATCAGTCACGTGCTACAAAAACGTATTGCTCTTAAGAGACCCTAAATGAAACAGCAGACACCTGCCGAAAAAATTTCGACGTCGCAATAATATCTAGCTCCTCTACTATTAGTCTTGCTTATTAGTTCCTTTTGTTTATAATTTTTATAGCTTAGCAAATGCTCCATTCGGACCAGTACTTCTGTTTTGTTACGGTGCTTCAGCCCTGACTGTTCGGGAGAGTAAGGCCAGCGCCAAACTGTCGAAACTTTATATTTGACAAAACCCAATGCTAATGTTTTGGCTCATTAGGATCGTCTCATGTTTGACACTGGCGTTAATTAGAAACTCACAAGGAAAAAACAAAGAAAGACGATATATGTTATCACTCTAAATAATGGAAGCTCTCTGTCAAGGTTCCCTGCAGTGCGTTCCTTTTTTTGTACCATGTGATGTAGTCTTTCCGTCAAAGTCCTTTTATTCTCATTTCCGGTTCTGGTTAAAAAATCTACCGCTCGGGCTTCACGCTCGAGGAAAAAAATGGGAGCTCGACTTGTAGGTAAGTCTACATGTGATGGAACAGCTGCGATTGGCCGCCGGTCTCGCTTTGTGACCCGTGACAAGTCAACCACGTTCGAGACGTTGCTAAAACAACTAAACCTGCAGTCCCCACTTAACTAAAGAATTGTTAAAATGGTCACCGGTGTTTACAAAGCTATCCATGGGTATAAAGTCCCTAGAGGAATAGGACAGCTATTGCATCAACGATCAGCTAATTACAATCTTAGAGGAAAACACATTCTCGAGCTACCCAAAGTAAATACAACCACCTATGGACTTAAATCGTGGCGTTATACTGCAGCTACGATTTGGAACGCTCTTCCGAATCAGTTTCGTGCCGCTAATAATATCGGAACATTCAAGAACTTAATGTCTAAGTTGGATTTCTCAAATTTTACATTTTAATCGCGCAAATACATGTAAATACATTTTGCTTAGTTTTAACATCATTATGTAATAATTTTGTGATCTACTTGTAGTTTTAATAATTTTTAACTGTATTTATATATTTTTATATAAGTTTTTATCAGAAATCTTCTCTTTCTATTATTATTTCTAGCTTATTTATTTATTTTTTGTGGCGTGTCTGTAAAGCAGCTAATTAGCTAAGAACATTGACCACGTTAAATAAAGGGTATTGTATTGGTATTGTATTGTATTGTTAACCTCAAGGCACTGTGGTTATATATACAAATTGACATGAACAATTTAAAAGAGCTGGGTAACTGTCGAGTTATCTACGCTGTAGGCAACTGTCCTCAGTCCTGCTATGAATAAATTTGCACCATTCTATTTACATGCGAAAGTTTTCGTTGGTTGGTAATTATTGTTTCTATACCCAATATAACCATTTCTTCTTTGTTGGCGTTCGCAATTTTTGTGAGTACTGTAACCCATCGAAATTTCTCAAAGCTTGATATTAGATACGCTCTTTTAAGTGCTTTTAGTTCCTGCCTTGTTTTGTCTATAGTATCTGTTTTTGTCTATTTTGACTTCAAGTACTAAATTATTTTAAATTATAGGGTAGCTATTAATTACACACTTTATAATGCCTTATTAGTATGCCCATTATCAAGCTATAAAAATAGAAACCCTGAAAATTAAACATAAAGGACTCTTGAAGGATTTTAGACAAATCAATGGGCCGTCTATAGTTTTCAAATTGCTTTGAAACCTTATAATGATTTGATAGCTGACATTTCCTTCGATAAGTGCTTGTAAAAAACCAAAAGTTACAAAATATTAGCTTCAGTCAACACTGCTTTGCAGTGTTTCTTTCTTTCTTAGCCACCACTGAAGGTTTGTGTTGCAAACCGAAATATAATTCACCATTTTATTTTTGTTTTCCGTCTTTCTTTATTTTTTCTATCACTTTTACTGCCGTAAGGATCAGTTTTAAAATAGCTTTTGCTACTTGCGGATTCAGTGTTTTATTTTATTTTTGCAACCAAGATTTTCAAATAAATAAAATTGTTGTTGTTGTTTTTTACTGTTTTAATCTTAATATTTGGTATTAAGGATTTTATAGGGTCAATAGTTATCAGCCGCTGTTCGGGAAAGGGGCAGACCCGAGAAAGCGGTGGAAATCGGGCCTAAACATTTTACTGATTGTACTGTTGTTTTGCCTTCACAAGAGTTTCTGCTTTACAGTAACCTGAGATTAGGCCCAATTTTAGCAGTTCTCAAACATTCTCTCTAACGGCTACCGCTAAAATTCTATCTTCGTTTCGAAAATAGGGCCTGATCTCAGGTTAGCTTTACAGACGCCTCCCTGAGTAAATGGACAGTGGCTCCCTCGCTGATGTTTGGCTAAGTGCCTTTTGCAATAATTGTTCGCCAATCCTTCAAAGCCTATCTTACCCCATATAAACGGGAGTTGACTGGCTTTATCGTGGCAGTCATGCACCTATCAATGTCATGCCGGCGGGGGGGAGGGGGGGGAGGCAGGGCATAGGGTGGGGATTTGACTTTTTTCCAAAATTCGCAATCAAATTCCCTGCCCACGGGCAAATCATTCCAGTCAAATGTAACCAAATTTCCCCACCCTAGGCTGCACATTGCTGTCAATCCCAAGGCAGAACCTAAGAAAGGCACAATAAAAATATCTCCAAATAAAACTCTGCAATCTTTTACGGCTGCAATTATACGTTTTAACCATAATCCGTGTTACACTGCGTAGAATACCTAAACTTTTAGGACAAAATCCACATTTTGTAAGTCTAAATATACCGTTCTTAGTAAAGGGTACAAAGAACGTCAGTTTTACAAGTTTACAGTGATTGTAGCGAATGAGCCATACACTAATCAATTGTACTTGCAAAAATCGACTTGATTTTTCTTTACTTCCGTTTACTTTGATTCCACAGTATTTTAAGAGGTTCAATTGATCAAAAACACGCTAAAACAAACGACATTTGAAGACAAAACAGTGAAATCCACTCAGCCTTCGCTTGTTCTCATTGGCCTCCATGACTTCCTGATCTTTTCAAACCGTATGGCGCATGCGTGAAGCGTGGAAGCGGGAAACATATGTTCGGTCTCAGTCTTTTTCGTCCTAGTCGGCAGTCAAATATCTCCACGTCGGGCGAAGAAAGATTCAAATATCCACTCCCCCGGGAGAACAAGATCGGTCAAATGCCCTACCCCAGGGACAACAAAGACTATCGAATCCCCACCCCATGCCCTGCCCCTCCCCCGCCCCCGCCGGCTTTACATTGATAGGTGCATTATTATTTATATCGGGAAAGCCTACAAAGGAAAGCCTGGGCATAAGGATGACTCGTTTTGAAGACGAAAAAAATGGAAGCTCCTACCCCTCCCTCGTGTAAGTATGAATCAACAATAATTTGTTGTCAATATGGCGGCTGTTGCTACGAAAACCCAGTGGATATTTTCGGTTTGATATCTGTCGTATTTCTTTATTTTTTTTAGCTGGAAAGAGTTTTTTCTTGAGTGGAAGACGCCTGCGTTATGAGTAACAAGCTTTCTAGCAAGCCGTCTAAGAAGGACAGGCCAAGATCCACTGGTAAGATTATCTTTACACACTGCAGAGCTTGCGTTCGCAATTGCTACTCCAGTCAGTTCTCATGTTCTGACGTTAAAATTTCTCGTGATAAATTCAAACTACGACTTTAATTAGATTTATCGAGGATTTATTCACTGAAAAAGAAACTCAATCCCAGCTGCTATTGTTAAAAGAATATTATTATAACTTTTTGCAGGCCTTGGGCAACTCTCATAATCAATTAAATGTATAATCATTATATTGAATTCATGTATAATTACTGAAGTAGTCCTTAGTTGTACATGTTAATGCAGGCTGAATACATTTTAAAGACGGTCTGGCTGTGTTCTAGATAAGAGTGCAAAGACAAAAAAGAGAGATGGTGGCACCCCCGATAAGATGGGCTCACCAGTTGGATCAGCTGTGCATATTCAGGACGAAGTGTGTACAGGACCGTCTGTTGGAAAAGTTATCAGTGGTGATGACATTGATTCTCTTGCAATCAATTTAGATGAGCTGAAAAAAGTAAGTGCATGCAGTCCTCTGGACTCAGAGTTGTACTTAATTACTGCACTTTTCACAAACATGC